ACTAGATTTAGTCCTGAAAGGCAGCTTTTATGTGGATAGGACCCATGGAGTACAGGATTCTGTTAACAGGTGTGACTGAGTTTCCCTAAGATAAGTTTATGATTTGTTATTCAGTCGCTCAGTCATGTCCAACTCTTTCTGACCGCATGGACTGCAGCACACCAGTCTCCTCTGTCCTCCACTATCTCCTGGAGTTTGCTCAAATTCTTGTCCATTGAGTCAGTGATACCATGCAACCATCTCATCCTCTGCCACCCTCTTCTCCTTTTGCCTTCAATCCTTCCCAGCATCAGGGTCTTTTCCAATGAGTCGGCTCTTCACATCAGGTGGCCAAAGTATTGGAGCTTCAGCTTCAGCATCAGTCCTTCCAGTGAATATTCAGGGTTGATTTCCTTTAGGGTTGACTGATTTGATCTCCTTGCTGTCCAAAGGACTCTCAAGAGTCTTTTCTAGAACCACAATTCAAATGCATAAATGCTTCTGTGCTCAGCCTTCTTTATGGACCAACTCTCACATCCATACATGACTACTGGGAAAACCATAGCTTTAATACAGACCTTTGTCGGCAAAGTGGTATCCCGGCTTTTTAATACGCTGTCGAGGTTTGTCATAGCTTTTCTTCCAAGGAGCAAGGGTCTTTATGATTTGCGTCTCAGATAACTGAACTTGCGGGAACAAAGCATGTGTGTTCTAAAGATACAGACTCTGCTTAGTTTTTGTTCATGACTCATTTTGTTCAAATACACCTTCACCTGACAAGGGAGATGAGAATAAGCCTCCAAGATTTCCCATCTATTTCTTGATTTGTAATCTGCTGAACAGAAAAGTGGTGGGAGAGGGATGGAAAATCCTCTCATCAGAAACCTAAACTTGTTTCAGAGAAAGAGCACAAAGACAGCAGAGGTGAGTGCTCACAAGTGTCCTTCCTCCTGCCTTCAGAACAGACACAGTATCCTGTCCCGTACTGGTTGGTTCAGTCTTTGGTTTCATGGTTTTTCAATCCCTTGGGCAGAATATCAGCCAGTTCATTTCAGAATTTGTAATTATTACATATTTTGCCTTTAGGGCATGAAGGACCAAGGAAGTTTCAAGACTGGAAACTCTCTTGAAGCCACTGGTTTCAGCTTTTAGGTTTGTACCATCCGCCAGCAACTGATCCATTCTTTTCAAAAACACAGAAATAAATCCAGTGACTCCTTCTGTGTTCCTATCAAACTTTTAAACAACAACTTGATCACACCCTTCGCTCAGAGGACACTCAGCACATGAAAGACATAAAGTGTTTCACAGAGCAGAACATTCTTTGAAAACTCCGGGCAGAATAAAGCGCTCGTTTAAGGAACTTAATTGAGAGAAGCAGTGCAACCCGGAGAGGGCTGCCTGAGTTCAAAGGCACCGCTTTTAATCCCAAACCATTTTACCTTTCTTTCTTTCTGGGTGACTAACCTGCAGACGTCCACTCATCTCCTGCCAAGTCATTTTTCTTAAGAAGGTGGATACTTTACAAGATTCATAGCCAGGAGCCCTCTATCAGGAATGCTGGTGGTACGGATTTGGGTAGATAAAAACAGAGGCATGAAGAAAGTGAGTCTCTGTGATTTGTGTGCGCGGCAGACTCTGTCTCTGGCAAGTTTGCTCCAGTTGGAAACAATAAGGCACTGGGCCTTCCTTGAGTCTGGAAATGTTATGCCTCTGGCAGCCCATGATCTTGGAGAGTGGAGCCAAGTATTTTCATAGTCAGGATTTTGTGTCAGTGGAACAGGCAGGATGTCAACTGTTGGGAGGAAAGTCATCCAATTCACACACGTGCAGCTGGAGAGACAGCTCAGCTTCAGATGTCATTTAACATGTTGGCGGGTGAGCAAGAAGGCGGCAGAAGTGGCCTCCTAAAGCCAAGAAACCGCTGACTTTTGGGAGAATCACGGTGGCAGAATCGTTCTTGTTTTCACAGAGAGTACCAGAAAGGACATTCTTTCAGACTTTCACACTGGGCAGTTTTTCCTGTGACCCATCTCAGAGTTAAGTGTGAGTTGCTCAGTCGTGTCTGACTCCCTGCGATCTCATGGGCTATAGCCCACCAGGCTCCTCTGTTCGTGGGATTCTCTGGGCAAGAATACTGGAGTAGGTTGCCATTCTCTTCTCCAGAGGCTCTTCACAATCCAAGAATTGAACCTAGGTCTCCTGCATTGCAGGCAGACTTTTTACCAACTGAGCCACCTATAAAATCACCATGCCTGATACCTTACACAGAAGTAACTTTTTTTTAACTTTTTATCTTGTTTTAGGGTATAGTCGATAAACAATATTGTGACAGTTTCTAGTTTCAGGTAAACACCAGAGGGACTCAGCCATGTGTGTGTGTGTGAGTTGTTCAGTCATGTCCAACTCTTTGCCACCCCATAGACTGTAGCCCATCAGGCTCCTCTGTCCATGGAATTCTCCAGGCAAGGCTACTGGAGTGGGTTGCCAGTTCCTTTCAGGTGGACAGCAAAGGGACTCAGCCATACACATACATGTATCCATTCTCTCCCAAATTTTCTTCCCATCCAGGCTGCCACATAACATTGAGCAGAGTTATTCAGACCTACTGAATAGCAGGTCCTTGTAGGTGATTCATTTTATATGTAGCAGTGTGTACATATTGATTCCAAACTCCCTAACTATCCCTCCCTCCCATCCTTCCCCACTGGCAACCACAAGTTCATTCTCTTAAGTCTGTAAGTCTGTTTCTGTCTTGTAAATAAGTTCATCTGATTCATTTCTTTTTAGATCCTACATATAAAGCATGTCACACGATATTTCTTCTTCTCTGACTGCAGAAGTAATTTCTTGAAAACAGCAAACAGTGAGATGGACCAGCCTTTTTTGGCTGGCCTATCCTCATAAAATGAATGGCGAGCATCACAACATTTTTTTTTATTATTGTGGTCATCCTAATAATTAATACATATCAATTGTGCAGTCATTATTTTCTTGGTATTTGTTCTCTGGGGGGGAAATGGACTGATTGAGATGATTATACCTTTTCCTTTTTGTTCCAGTCTGTTCATTCTTTATCTTTGAGGGACTAGAATACTGGTGCTCACTGGCTCTTACAGAGTTTCCAGAAGAGTTAAGAAAAAACATATTATCTCGTTTATTAAATGTTGTATGGACCTTAGTACACTCTCTTTTAAGGCTGGCGCTATTGAATGTTAATTGAAAATCAACTGGCAAATAAACCATCATAACATGGCATAATCATGAACCAGCCAAGAAAATCCACCACTTCATACCCATTAGAACAGCTACTATAGAAAAAGTCAGAAAATCAGCGTTGGCAAGGATGTGGAGAAATTAAAAACTTTGTGCATTTTTGGTTGTAATATAAAATGGTATGGCTGCTTGCGAAAACAGAATTACCACATAATTCAACAATTCTGCTTCCGGCTATGTACCCAGAACAAATGAAAGCAGAATCTCAAAGATGTATTTGTATACCCATGTTCATAGAAGAATTATTCACAATAGCCACAAAGTGGAACAAAGTCAAGTGTTTATCAATGGATTAAAAAATGAACACAATGTGGTATATACATATAATGGGATATTATTCAGCCTTAAATGGGAAGGGAATTCTGACACATGCTACAATATGGATGAACTTTGAAGACATCATGCTAAGTAAAATCAGCCAGCGACAAAAAGACAAATACTGTATAATTCTACTTACGTGAGGGACTGAAAGTAATCAAATTTAGAGAGAAAAAACGTGCAATCGTGGCTGCTAGAGGCTGAAGGGAAGGGAGGTGGAGTGGGGAGTTGTTTAATGGGTACAGAGTTTCAGCTGAGAAAGATGAAAAAGCTCTGGAGGGGGATGGTGGTGATGGCTGCCCAACCATGGAAACGAACTTAATGCCACTGAATCATACACTTGAAAGTTGTTAGTCAATTTTATGTTATGTATTATTTCTTCAGAATAAAAAAATATTATATCAGGAAGTTACCTTAAAAAAATAAGTATCAAGTGGGGTAACAGACACCTGATGCTGCCTTCTATAGACTTATAAACTCATATCTTGTTAAATCGTCATTTCCTGTCTGCTCTTGAAGCCAGGGAAACTTTGCAGAGTGTGTTTTAAATTACTTCAGACCCACGCCTTCCCCTGCCCCTTGTCTGAGAAAGAACTCGCTGCTCCCCTGTCCTTCCCCACCCCTCTCACCTTTCCATAAGTCCTCACCTTCGCTGTAGGTGTCTCGAGCCATTTGGCTGAGAAACACCGATTGCACTGATGTCCATACAAAATGCTGTTATCAAGTTGTCTTGTATTTTATCTCGGGAGAAGGATGTGGAGGGGGCATTAAAGGTACAGGGAAAGACGATACTGGAGAACTCTAGATCTGAGCTAATTTTGCCCCAAAGGCTTTGTACCAAATTATCACTATGACCAGGTGATCTAGAGAAGAATTACCAGGGAAAGGAGCTTTAATTTTAAGAAGACCTTAATGGCATTTTAGTTTGTCTTCAGGTAAGAGCTGTCCCTGGGAAATGTGGTTATGCAGGATTCAAGATAGTCTTGGTCCACAGTTGGGTTGGGTTCCCTTCCCCCCCTCACCCCTTGTTTCAAAGAAAATTACAGCAAAGCAAGATGTAACTGAATTGTTTTCCTTACCCCTCACCAAGTTTACTGATCACTGTATGTAAGGATCCAAGCCATGGCAGACTGGGGCAGAAGGTGGACCCTGGACATCGATCTGGCTTTGAGAGCTGGTGCCTGTTGGTCCACTTCTAAACTTTCTCCAAATACGATTTCACATTCCGTCCGTACTGACCAGAGAGGAGGGATCGTGTTCTTTACACTAGCGCTATGGCAACTGATGCGCTGGCCTCCAGGGGCTACCTCCACAGATGGAGAGGATGGGACTGCCCGCCCCCTCCTGGCACACCCATGAAGAGAAGCAGAATGAGGTTTTGCTTCAAGAAACATCCTTAACTATTCGTCTCTCTCTATCCCTCCAAGCTTCCGCAGGTTCACTCGCTCCAACAGTGTGACGACGGCCGTGCAGGCCGACCTGGACTTCCACGACAACCTGGAAAATTCCCTGGAGTCGATAGAGGACAATTCGTGCCCCGGCCCGGTGGCCAGACAGTTCTCCCGGGATGCCAGCACCTCCACCGTCAGCATCCAGGGCTCAGGAAACCATTACCACGCCTGTGCCGTCGACGAGGACTTCGACGCGGACTTCGATCCTTCCATTCTGCCGCCCCCGGACCCCTGGATTGATTCAATCACCGAAGACCCCCTGGAGGCCGTGCAGAGATCAGTGTGCCACCGGGACGGCCACTGGTTTCTGAAGCTTCTCCAGGCGGAGCGGGACCGCATGGAAGGCTGGTGCCAGCAGATGGAGAGAGAAGAGCGGGAGAACAGCCTTCCTGAGGAGAGTAAGTGCGTCGCTGCGTATGCGCACGCGCAAACGCCTGGTGTTCTGGGCGGGGCATCTGGTGCGGGGCATCCGGGATGGGGCGGGGTGGGGCGGGGACACTTCCTTCCTTCCGGTTGCGCAGAGCTGCTCATGTAGTTGTCACACTTTCTGTAGCTCTGCTTCCGGGACTTTCGGCTCTGGACCGTGGTGGGGTGCGCTGAGGCTTCTGAATGGTTCCTCTTCCCGAAGACGCTCCCCCATTGGTGTTACTCTTCAGGGAAGGAGCAGTAATTCTAACTAGTTTCAAGATCCCCAGCTAGGCATCCTTTGGATATTTATGATCTTCCAAACGTACTACTTTCACTAACATACAAGATTAAAACGAGGCTGGTCTTGTCTAGGCCGGTAGACGCCACTCTTATTGACATTCTTAGCCTTGCTTAGCCTGCACTTTCCTTCTTAGGTTTAAGCAAATCTTCAGCCGCTAAAACAAGTAACACATTTTAATAGATTAAATAAATGATAAAGGGTGGATAAGTTAAATAAATAATGGAGGCCCCACACACCGTTCTTTTCAAACTTGGCCTTTTTAACAACAATCCTTGTTAACAGTCGACAAAGAAGTTACCAGATGTCCACAGTCCTGAGACATGTTTTGTGCATTGCCAAAAACTGAAATTTTTGGAAAATAGTTTATAATCAGTGTGTATATCAATGTTGCGTGTTTATTTGCCTGTGAAAAACGATTATTGAATGAACAGTGGATCTTCCTGCTGATAATATATTTGAATCAGGGAAAATCAGTGGTAGGCATCTAAGCCTGCCTTCATTTTGGGGTGGGAACCACCTGGAAGAGTATTGTCATGATGTGGCTTTTTAGACTTGTCTTTTAAGTCATCATTTAACTTTTTATCATGAAAATCTTAGAACACGTACAAAAGTAGAGCATTTATTATAATAAATCCCCATGTACCTATCACCCAGTTCAATGAGTGCCCAGTCTCAACTTCCCCCATGTTGTCATCATTTTTGCCAGAGGATCTTAAGGAAAATCTAAGACATCTCATCGCTTCACTGTGCATCTCTGATAAGGATTTTTTTTTTAAAATAACCAATCATGTATTATCATCCCTAACAAAAACAATAATTTCTTAATAATGAGATCTAGGGCTTTCTATAAATCATGTTCAGTTAACTTACTAAGTAAACCTAGCTAACTGTGTCAGGGAGCAGTGAACTTTCCATAATGGAAGTATTTTTATGAGAATGGAGACTGGAAAATAACAGTTCACATGTTGCAGGATTTCTGCTCTGGATCTTGCTTGAAGCTCTTCTCTGCTCTTTCCTCCTCCAGACCCCTATCCACCCACTGACTAGCTTATTTGTTCCCTTTCAGAGCAGGTTAGAAAACCCATCAGTATATTTCTGTAATGTTCCTTTTGTTCTTTAATGATGAGTGCAAACAACTTAGCAGTGGAAAAGCAAATCTCCTTGACACTTGCCCCAACGATCCATGCCACTGCATGCTCACCTGGGTGTGGATCCACAGAGAATATGCTCTGTGACCTGGTGACAGGGTTATGAAGCAACACCTAAGAGCGGTGGGTGGGAGCAGGTTTCAATAAGAAAGTCTTCTATGTGTATATATATGCATGCATGCTCAGTCGTGTCTGACTCTTTTCAACCCTTTGGATTGTAGCCCGCCAGGCTCCTCTGTCCATGGGATTTTCCTGGCAAGAATACTGTAGTGGGTTGCCATTTCCTCCTTCAGGGAACTTCCCGATCCAGAGATTGAACCCATGTCTCCTACATCTCCTACACTAGTAGGCAGGTTCTTTACCAACTGAGCCACTGGGAAGCCAAGAAAGTCTTAGCAGTTGCATTTTCTTATTCTCCTTTCCCCTTATGAGCAAACCCAAAACCTAGTAAACTTTACTGGAATGTGGTAAACTTGCCCACGTCTAAGGAGCAGTGGCCTCGGGTGCCCTGCTCAACAGGGCAAGCTGTTTTGCAGATTTCAGGTCATTCATTGTATTGATTCAAACTTGTTCTAGCTTCCCCCAGTTAACGTCCAGTATGACCTGGGAAGCTGTTCATGTGGTGTTTTCTTTTAATCTTTTCTTTTCTTCCCATCTGAGACTAGATCTATTTCTCTCAACCCAGCTTTGTAATGATGCATGAGGATAGCCAATGTATAAAGATTTAGGAGAATATTCCTTGACACTTACATAGCTGGTAAATGTAAGTTATGAAAACAAGTCAATGTATTTTGATACAAGCATATGTATTTGAAAGGTGAAAATCATGCCAGAAAATCAGATTCTCATCCTGTGTTTGGGATGAAAGCGAAGTATATTTGTATCTTGAATATGAAGGAACTGCTCATTCATTCACTGTTCCAGAATGTTTACTTCAGATGTTATTTAAACTATTAATTTATTAAAAAATTAAGTAAAATATTGATTTATAAATAGGACTTATAAACCTATTCCATATGAAAATATTTTGTTATAACTAGATTGTTCTAACAATAATTTGCTGTTTGTACACAAAGGTACTGCTTGTCTTACTATTAAGAAGCCATATATCTTAAGGACATTTTCTTTAGAGTAGTGATTTTTTTAGCTCTACCTCTATTTTACAAGGTTGCTGCCTGGGGATGGCGTGGGGGAGGTGTGAGGGTCATGGCTGCAGAACAAGCAAAGATAACTAAGCGTGGGAGTGATTTTGGTGCTTTGCTTTAAAGCAGTCAGCTGAGTAATCTTAGATGGCAAGTATGCAATGAGACCTGTTTCACTGGGGAGTGAGTTTCCCTTTGTAGTTTGAAATATATTTCAATATCAGAGCCCCCTTTTCCTAGTTAAAAAAAAAATACACCCAACACCAATAAAATAATAGGAAGAACAGTGAAGCTCTTTTTTTTTTCTTTTTTGAAGCTCTTTGATAAGGGCTCAGAGTTCTGTCGTCTCAGTCCCTGGAACAATGTCCCTCCCTACCAACCAAAAAGTTCCTCAGATTTCTCGAGTTCAGTTGGAAAACCAATCGTCTATAGTGAAAAGTCCAAATTACTAATTTTTCAAAATATTGTTTTAGAACTTTAGATCAAACAGCTAACACAAAGTTCAGAGGTAAATGCCTTTATTATATGATTTTTTAAATGTATCAAAGTGATTCAAATTAGAAATGTCTGATGTCTGTTCATTTAAGCCCATCTAGCCTACAAAAAAGGGTCCTCCTTCAGCTTGAGCCTCACCTTCTAGAAGTCTTTGCAGAATGCACTACCTTGGGCTGAACTGGGTGCTTCTGTAATAGCCATACATTTGTCTGCCAGGTATTTCCAACATTTTTTGATGATAATCTATGTATCTCTCTCCTCGACTGAAAAGTGAGGTCTGAGGACAGAAATTGTTCCTGTCTCATTCATCTTCATATCTCCCGTCCCTCTGACAGTTCTTGACATATAGCAGGGAATTGGTGAATACGTATTGAATCCTGAAACTATTTTGGAAATTCTGTTTTACAGAAGTGTTTTCTTTAGCCAAACCTTTGTTCCTAAGTAGCTTACAAAATATTCAACAAGTAACTCGCTGCTATTGTCGCCCAAAGTTGGGAGGGGCAATGCCTGGCAAAGTGGAGAGCGGGATCCGGTAGAGATATGAACACCTACCACCAAAAGGCTGGAAAGGACTCGCATGTCTGTCAGTTGCCTGGGCTAGATGAACCTGCATGTCCCTTCTAGCTCTTGGGATGAGATTCCACTCACAAGCACTTGAAAACTTTCTCTGTCTTTCATGCCCTGGGACGTATGAAACGGAAGCTCCCACCCACTAGCGTTCCAGAATTCTAAACAGCACAGAGGAGCATGCACATGCGCAGTCAGAGTCGCCAATTTCAAATGAGGCTAATGGAAATCAGTGAGGATCTGACCAGAGAACAGGGAGAAATAGAGAATAGGAGCTCATGAAAGACTATCCATCTTGTCCTCACAGTCCCCGGGCCGTGGGCTACAGGCCTTGACAGGTGTTGTTTTATTTGCCCTCAAAACAGCTCTCTGGCAGTCTCTTGTCCAAGGTCACAGAACACAGAAGCGCCTGGTGGAATAGATACAACATGAATAACATCTGACAAGACAATAACACTTTGTGTATTCCTGAGTGCCTCCTCCAAAGCTCTCCATACGTATCTGCCCCTGCCTCCTTGGCAACCTCACTTCTGTTCTGATAAGTGGGCCTGGGTTTTAGAGGGCCTTTGTTTTAGTAAGTCTCTAATTTAACCTTTGCTTGTTTTTTTTTTTTTTAATAAGGGGGAGGGTAGTAAGGAAGGGGAGCCAGTTCTGTTTGGCAGGCATAGCAATGTCTAAGTAACCGGCTTTTGAGAAAGAAAAAAAAAATCTGTGTACACAGAAAAAGGGCTTTGATAGATGGGTCAAGCACAGATCTATGTGTCTGCTCGTCAAACCACCTTTTGTGTTGAGTCCCAGACAGGAGGGTCATTCTTTAGGGTACGTGACAATGGTGGCTCCATGAGTGATCCCTCCCAGGAGAGCTGATCTTCACCATCAGCAGGGAAAGATAAGCAGGATTGGGTGGGAGAAAGGACGATTCTAATCACACCTGCTTAATTTATCTTGTGGGGCCCAAGAATTATTCCATATTTTAAATATTTTTAAATGTTTAGTGACTGTGCTTAATGTCTCTGAATGGCCCACTTAAAAATGGCTGAAATGGTAGATCTTATGTATATCTCACCACACACACACACACAAATATCCCGCCTCCCCAAAAAATACTGTGCAGCAGCTGAAGGTACATGAGTCAGACTTGCTATCATCACATCCATACTTATTCATCATGCTTATAGGAATGTAAGTTAAGTATCTTCCTAAATATCTTCCTAAATCAAAACACAGCATGTCTGAGGGGGAAAAAAAAGAAGTTAGGAGCAGCACCCGTCTGCTCTGGGACCCCCCTGGAGGTCCAGTGATTAAGACTGTGCTTCCAGTGCAGAGGAGTGGGTTTG